TAAGCAAATTTTATGCAGAACGCCGTGCCTAATGCACATTTCTTATGAGCAAATAGTATGCTGAACGTCGTGTTAAAATAACGTTTTTTTGCTGAATGTCGCGCTAAATTAACATTTTAATGAGCAAATGTTATGCAGAATGTCATGCTGAATTCACATTTCTAAGGAGCAAATAGTATGCTGAATGTCGTGCTAAAATAACATTTAAGTGAGCATATGTTATGCTGAATGTCGTGCTTAAGTCACAATTTCATGAGCAAAGGTTATGCAGAATGTAATGCTTAATTCACATTTCTAATGAGCAAAAAGTATATGTAATGTTAAAAAATCACATTTAAGTGAATATGTTATGCTGAATGAAGTGTTAAAATGCACATTCTAGTGAGCAAATAATATTCTGAATGTCGTACTTATTTCACATTTAAGTGAGTAAATGCTTTGTTGAATGCCGTGCTAAATTCACATTTTAGTGAGCAAATATAATGTTGAATGTTGTGCAAAATCTACTGCTAGCTTCACATTTTAAGGAGAGAAAATGTTTTGCTAGATTGTTGATTAGCTTGCAACATAGAATCAACGTCTTGCAAAATATGTTTGAAAAATACACTTTTTTGAAAGCTAAGTAAATGATAATATTCAAAAGCCTTTATTTGATTCTGTTAATCTTTCATTGCAACTCGAGATGCAAACATTTTTTGTTTTATTGACTAAGTTGTCCTTTTTTTATACACAATTATTATATAGGCTAGTCATTTTCCACTATGAATTTAATTTAATTGCTTTTTGTATATGATATTGATATATTTTAGTCTGTACCGTAAATGTACAGATTTTTGACGTAATAATGTATTGTACAAACTAGATATTGATAAACAATGATCTTATCATGATAAATGCTCTCATTTTTATTGTTGTTGTTGTTATTTCCGCTTTGGGTTTACGTCACACCGACAGAGCACAGGTGATATGGCGACTTTTCAGCGTTACTGGTAGAAGAAGACCTCAAGAATCCCTCCGCGCATTATTTCAGGCACGAACGAGTACCTGATTAGAACTCCGACGTTCAATGCATATTTAATACTGCTACATGTGATAGCACCATTATCAGTCGATAGAACAGTGTTTCTGAAAGGGTACTACTGAAGTTTTTGAAATAACATGCGACATATATCTTGAAACTTGAACATGTTTACTTTTCTTAAAAACAAAGTACATTTTACTCACGTTTGGTTTTTCTGACCTATTTTGGCTCATCTGGAAGTGCATGTATGCAGTTTTAAAAAAATAATTTTCGACCCAACGTTTTTTTTCTCTAAATTTATTATATTTTATAGCGTACCGCACATCTGTTTTATTGGGGGAAAAGTCAAACAAAGGTGTAAATAATGTTTTACTATTATGATAAAACTATATTTACAATGTGTATACTATCCCGTGCTTAAAAGATCATAAATGAAATATCGTAACGCGCCAATCATCACGTGCAATTGACATAAATCAAGCAGTTATATTTGCTTAAACACTTCACACATATTTAAAACTCATGTGTTTGATTTTTTAACTTCTAGTTAACTGCATGTCGGCAAAATTAAAAGATATTTATTTCGTTGTTCAGAAGTAGGAAATTCTTTACTCTTCGTTTGTATATATATTTTTTTAATTCAATTTAAATGCATAAATTTGTAAATGCAGTACAGTCATACAAACACGGATCAAACAGTTATTTAAGACATTATAAAGTGAATTAATTTGAATAGCACAAAAATGTAGATTTTCATATTTTCACATATTAAGCAAATTCTCGTGGTGAATATGAAAAAAAAAACACAGAGATAAAAAAAATCTTGCGCGCCGAAAATGAAAAACATGAAAAACGAAATAAAATAAACAAATAAAAAAAAATCAACAAAAAACACTAATTATACAAGTACTACTTATTTAAATTTCTTCTTAAGATTATTTTTACAATTTATTTTATCCAAGATACATATTTCAATAGCGCATTTTTTGCTACATATAATGTCTTAACTTCACACTTTGTTATCTAAAGTTTGCCAGTTTATTGTTTTGTTATCACGATAATAAAATACTCGGTAAGTGTAGTGTGATCCCTAAATAAACACGGAGTAAATCTTTTTTAAACCTTATTTCAATTCTTTAAACCCCGCATAAATCTAGTCTGTGCCGTTAAAGTTCACCTGTCCGTTCATTGGTGTGTTAGTTTTATAGCCAGACGATTTGGTTTATACATATTTGAGCCGCGTCACGACAAAACCAGCATAGTGCGTTTGCGACCAGCATGGATCCAGACCAGCCTGCGCATCCGCGCAGTCTGATCAAGATCCATGCTGTTCGCTATCAGTTTCTCTACTTGTAATAGAGTTGGTAAGCGAACAGCATGGATCCAGATCAGTCTGCGCGGATGCGCAGGCTGGTCTGGATCCATGCTGGTCGCAAACGCACTATGTTGGTTTTGTCATGGCGCGGCTCATAGTTTTATTCAAGATATATACATATGTTAATAATTTACAATTTAAAGCAGAAAGGAATTGGACCGAGAACAGCAATAGCTCATTGTAATTTTGAAACGGATATATTTAAAGACCCCTCCTTGTCAAAAAATTGTTTGAAAATATGTTGATTTTAAGTGTTAAATCTCTTTTTATTGTTGTTTACTGTAATGTACTGTATATTTATTTTATGACCGATTTATGATTTATTTACATGTTTAATTATCCGTGTGATTCCGTTTTCGTATCATTTCGTTTTCTTTTCACCTTTCACTTAATACTTCATTTAACATTCAATGTCCTATGTTTCACGGTGCATGACAACTTTTAAACGGTCAGCGCGATTTTCAATTCCACATATTTAACATGTGTAGAGGCCCCTTAACATTTTTAGATTTAAATTTTTAGATTTTGCTATTTTTGATTTTTTTTTATCTTTATTCAACATTTAATGTTTGTAAAAATTTGTTTTATATAATAACGAACTAAAAAAAGACTAAACTGACTCCGAGATACATGTATGCTTTAATTAACATGAAAAGTAATCAAAGCATTAAAACGTTACACGCCTTTAAATAAGTAAACATGTTTTTTGTTTGTTTGTTGTTTTTTTTTCTTCTAAAAATATGAAAACTTAATATGCATAATTATAGTGTTATCGTTCAAAAATTTACCAGCCAAATAGTATTTTGTGACATTTGTTAAAGACAGTGGTTATCCAAATGAATTAATTAGGCTTGCAAGGCATTGTTCAATGATTTCGTTTATTCTTATTACTATTAACACGTTGGTAACGGAGTATTGATAATCACTTAATTTGCTTTATAGAAAATATCTCTACTATTTTGAACAATTTTTGAATCTTTGCAACCTAACAGAATATTGGTTTAATTAAACAAAACTTTAAATTTCGTTCGCCGGATATATTCTTAATTGATTTTTTTTTCAATTTAAATAAGACCTGCAAAACAGTTATATCAGTAAGAATGAAATTACTTAACTGTCCCTTGGTATCTGTTGAACAAATCTATGAGGAGGTCTTGATAGGTTGTCTTAATGTTGAGATAAATGAATTGGAAGTAATAAATCATGATTCAATCTTATTTAAAACACGAGTTTAGCAATATACAGACGAGTTAGATTGTTTTTCCCTGATATTCAATTTTATGTGTTAAAATTTCATAGCGATTTTGCTTGTTCTTGTGTGATAAAAACATATAAATTAGATGTAACCTACACGTACATGTACATTATACGTTATGTTTACAACGCTGTCTCACGTAATGACGTCATTTAGGGTAAATAAAAGTTAGGGAATCAAATACGACCTAAAAATGCAAGTGCATTCAAACAAAAATGTAATTACTATCTTCACTATAAGAGTTTCAATTCATTTTATCCAAACATGTTTTTTGCTTTCGTTAATTTTTATTTAATATTATAACACTCGAACACGACAAGGTTTGAAAGATTCTAAAATATCATAAACCCTAGATCTTTTATTATTATATATATACATGTATTCAATATTCGCGTGAAATCCTAAATTATTGCATGATATATTTTTTAGTACGCACGTGTACATAGAAACAAAGAAGCACGTATTGATTTCCTATTACTGATAGAGCAATAACATTAAACCAATAAGATAAAAATCACCATCTTAAATGATGATGCAGATACGTTAACAAAATACGTTTACTTATAACAGTTATCATTTTATTTGTCACCCTATATAGCATTCCGTTGAAATAACGCCACTATTAAGATAACGCCCCCTGTAGATAACGCCCCTTGGAGATAATGTTCCCTTGAGAAAATGAAATCCCCACCCCTCAAAATAACACGTTTTTCAGACCCCCCCCCCCCCTCCTTAATATTAGACTCCCATGAGATAAGGTCTCATTATGATCAGAAAAGTCAAACTTGAGATAACATTTCTTAAAATTACACCCCCTTAGGATAACGCGCTCCTTTAGATAACACCCCTAAGATAATGTCTCCTTGTAACAGCCCATGTATCTCTGCGCATGCGTGCAGTTGGTTATACCATTTATATAGATGATCTAAATGATCAATAAAGGACCGCTAGTCGGCTTGTTTAGCCACTTAAAACTTTAAACAAAGTTAAACACATTTATTGATTTAAATGAATTGCAAATAATACTTTAGATAACGAGTTTAAACATTTGTTATTAAGCATTGTGCAATTCGGTCAAATTCTCTTTATTTTTGTGTAATTCAATATAAAAGTTTGATCTTTGTGTTTAAAATAGTTACATTTTTACCAATATCTTACAAAGATTGAACAAAAAAACGTTAAAATTCAATGTTTCATATTATGAGTATATATAAATCATTTTAACTGTGAAAAATTCGATACCATTATCGAGTACCCAAAGCGTTGTAATGTAATACAAAAGGGAATAGTGTGAATAAACAAAGACAATTGCGTTGAATGCCCCCACCAGGCTACGGGTTAAATAGCTTCTAATAATTGTTTTATATTTGTCTTTAAAATCGTTAAAATCCCGACTGATTATTTTAAATCGAGTGCCAAATGTAAAGTCAATATGTTGTATTCACCTCAAGTTGGTTTAATCACGTATTTCATGTAATTGTCAACGTTAGCGCTTCGTTGTGATAATCCACTCGTCGTGAAAAATGTATGGAGGCTTAAAGTTTATTTATTGAATTATGAATTATTAGTTTTACCTGCTGAGGTTAAATGCGTATGGGTATGGATTCTCAAGTTTCATTTAACGCTTTAAATCGATGAAAGAATTACTCTATGTCAAACATGAAAGACGGTGTTAAATTTAACGCCTTATCCATAGAATATGGACGTGCAATTCGGAATTAATAATAGTTTCTCAACGAGCTTTTTTCAAATGCGGGTTATTAATTCAAATGCATGATTTAACTACGGACTTAAGATACCGCTTTAATTCTACGGGACTCTATTCAAGGTTGCAGACAATCAGTGTATTGTAATTCATTGACAAAATATTTAGTTTTGAAAATATTGAGAAAAAGATCTAAATGAAAGAATAAATGTTGAGACATTCATTGAGTTCGACGAGCCATGACTATGAAATCGTTGACAACTAACGACACTGTGAGGTCGTCATTACATAGACCGCGAGTTTCGTTTAACGTGGAGGTAAATACACAAGGTGACGACATGGGATCTGTCAAAGATGCTGATCCTTTACCTATTGTGGAATTAAAACCTTTCGTTCAAAAAGTATGGAGAAGGGAAAAGAGTTTTGCCAGTACCTGGGAAAGGAGCCCAAGTGTAGCAACCATCAAATCGGAAAAATCAGAATCTAATGTGAGTAAAACGCGGGACAGTGAAACTATGTCAACAATAACGTTAGACACAGGCGTCGACGATGTTTCTTCGTCACCGCCGCCCAAAACGTCACATTCTTTACCGTCAAGGTTAACGGAACGCTTTCTTACAGTTTACGTTAATGCGTTCGAAGACTTTGATACTCAAAAGGAACATTTTCATAAAATTGTTGCAGAGTCGGGTTTTAAGGGCAGAACTAGGTTACATCCAGTGGTTGATTCGAAAATGAAAAAGCAACCCGAACATACGATAAACATAATTCCAGGATTTATAACACGTGACGATAGGACTAAGACGACGCTGTGTGAGATTTCAGATGGTGACTGTACAAATCGTTTTTACAGTTTCAATCCAAAAGCGATAGGCCCAGACGAAATACGTAAACAACAGTTGTTGCGTGTATCCGGTGAAACAATTGACCACAACAAACGATCAACTCCTCAAAATTCGTCTCCAACACCAAGCAAAATCATTAACGGATCGTGGCATGGGTCAAACGTGCGTCATGGTAGTCCTGCCAGTATGCTGTACCACAACAAAAGAGGTCATAGGTCGAAACGCACGAAGACTCCGCTATATGACCACTTAGATAGAACGGGTACTCTTCCTTCGTTGTCAATAAATTCAACAAGTCTTAAAAGGAGATCACCTAAAAAGGTTTATGATAATAATAGTGAAGATTATGTGGACTATTCTGACGCTTATGAGCCTGAGATGAAACATAATGTAGGTGGTATTGAAAACTCTCTTGTAGTGTTAAGCAAGCATGGCTCACCAACAAAAGTTGAAAGACAAATTTCGTTTGAACTTGAAAGTAATTTAAGCAGATTTAGAAAATTAAAAGACTATTCCCCATTCGAAATCAACCCTTCGGAACTAGCAAAATATTACCCACCACCAACTTTCAACATGACTCAGGGTGAGGCTCGAATACGACAAGCCATGCAATCCAACGCTTCAAAGATAAAACAGAGAAAGTTACGTGGAGGCCGCAACGGGTATGGTTCATCTTTTAGCACTTCTTTTAGTGAAATGCACAATGACCAATATACACACGGAATTCTGAAAAACTCATTTAATCGAATCGATCATATTGACTCATTTGACAATATGTACAATCCGTATAATAGAGCGTCTGTACAGGAATTCACGCCAAACGAAGAACCGAGCGTTCCTTACGACACGCCTCGTTCTCGCCTTGATTCCAGACATAGTTCAAAGGTGTTAAACGCCAATGTTCAAGAAAAGAAAGAACAAGTGGCCGTGAAAGAAGTTATTCAAAAGGAAACAAAATTAGCCTCAGAATCGGAAATACGGTCGTCTGCTACTCAAGCGCCACCACCGGAAGTAGAACATAATGTTAAAGAAGGAAATGACGTGGTTATTAAAGAAGATGTAGATACAAAAACAGTAGAGTCTGTGATAAAAGACGAGAACAAAATCACGAAAGAGACTGCAGAAATTAAGTCAGTAAAAATGAAAACTGCACAACCATCTGTAAAACAGATTGACGCGAGTGGTCGAACATTTATAACTTCAGACAGTATCCCACAAATGGGCATGGTAACTAGTTGATAAATTGTTATTTGTCTTTATAATATGAACATTTAAAGTCTTTCTAATGATGAAACACTATGAGTAATCAAAATCGTTTAGAAACAAAACAAGAAATGCTTACGAAATTTGTATCACAAATGCATACTATGTTAGCCCGATTATTTATTTTACTGTATATTCACGGTCTTTATAAAGTTTACAAATGGACTGAAGTTGAATGTAAGACAAATTACGTATTAGTAATTCATACAGAAACCAGATATGTTCTTTGGAAATGAAAACAACATCTTATCATGTGCACTTCATGTAAATCAATGGAATAATTTGTCATAAATATTGTTCCAAAAGTCAATAAATTGACATCAAGTCCTCCATTTCCTTGTTTGATACCAAAACAAACAACATTCACGAGTCTGGGAAAGATTGGCATTTTGTGTTCAATATGTCATAAGCGTTCCACGTATGACCGGTTTCATTAAGATTACGTTCGATAAAAAGGGTGATCATCCGAAAGTGTTCATAGATGGAGGAAAGCGTTAAAGCAGACGTTATTGGTAAATTTTACTAAGAAAAAGGGATGGGGGAAAGGCTCATATTTAAATATTTTATTTGTTTGATACATCCTAGTTTTTGTTCATTATACATGATATAAATGTACAACCATTTTGTTTATGTTTTATACCGTTTGAAGTGAAATTATTCTTGTTATAGCTGTTACTTATCCAAATAAAAGAATATGAAAAATAAGTCAATTCTCTTTACGAGTAAAGTGGGTACTTATTGGTTATTAATCGATTTAAACCTGCATGAAATATATATGTACATTTGTTAAAATACCCTGAAAAAGGAATTTCTTCGATGTGGTATATATTAAACAAATTTCTTTGCGATAAAAAATTATGATTTATTTGTTGGAAAGTTTTCATAAAGCAGGTATAAATCAACGATTTTGGAACTAATAAAGTTTGTTTGATCTGGAAATATTGTCTCTCAACGTGATCAGAAAGTGTATTATTTACTTTTGATTTTCATTAACTACACCGTAAATCATTAAATATTGCAACCATTAAAGTATATAGTGTTTACACATGATCCTATCTTGTGATAAGAGATATCACATTTCTATCTGATCATGACATTAAATTCAATTTCCAATGTCCTTAACCAGTTCGTGTGCGTTTTGTGTTTATTCAATGGATTTCGGTATATACCGGTATTTATGGCCTGAAATTTAAACACCGTTGCTAAAGCCGTTTCGGGTATTTGTATAATTAAATAATGTGCCATGGTCTATAATAGGCAGTATATCTGATTGTCTAATATATTATCGTCGATATTAAATGCCCAGACTTTTAAAAGTCAATGACACCTATATTGACTATCTGTCAATACATTAAATTGTTCGCAATGGATTATTAAGCGTATTGATAGGGTTCATAAGGTATCCGGTTACGGCACCGTTTATCCATACAATAAACGCACGGTTTTGAAAAAAAATCTTTAACATTCGATACACTAGCGCTAATTTCAATATTTGCCTAGTATTTGTTAAAATAGATATAAATAGCAAGTGTATGAATTCATTTTATTTAATAATCAGTATAACAAATACAACAGCTTTTTGACAATTTATGATAATAGTATTTGCTTATAGAAAACACCACGAACACCTACTGCGATAAATATCTGAAATAGAAATGTCCATCATTTAATTTATCCCTTAAGCATGTTAAGGTGAAATTCTTAAATTTATACCGTGCAGACTCTGATAAAACGGCACGGAGGTACCGGCTGATCTTAGTTTGCACTTGCAACACGGGCAGATAAGTCGCAGATAAGTTGCGTACTATACAATGGCATGCTTTCGCCGTTATGAATAAAGTTGTAGATTCATAGTTACGGGTGTAATGGCATAAAATTCCATGGCAAGTTTTGTTAGGTTCCCTCTGGTCGGCTTTTCCGCGCTGAATTGCATTGGAGGGCTGAGCTAAATTCTAGCTGAAAAGATATTTTACTTTAGTATATGAACAGTCACAATACAATACCCCATAATGATAAATACTGTAAACAGTGTTATAAATTTCAGAGATGCAAATTACTTTTAAGTGAGTATGGTTTCTTCTTCTTCTTCTTCTTCTTCTGTTTGTTTTTCTCTTTTTATTTATGCTTGTACAAGGACTCGGACTTTTTATGTGGGGAAGCCCTCCTCTTACTTTACGCATCTGTGGGGGTTCTATTCAGGTGCCGGTTCGAAGTTGATGTAATGCGCAGAGGTGCACCTGAGGTCTTTCTCCACAAGTTAGTCGGAAAAGTTGCCACGTGACCATTAAAAAGTGTCGGTTAGTGTTTAAATCCTATCAAAAAATGTACAATCGTTTTTCAATAGTAACCTTCGGTGAACCACGTACAGTGTAACCTCTGTAATGCAGCCATATGTAAAATAACATCGATTTATCCGCTTTTGTCTTTTAATAGATATTAATTGTAAATTAAAAGTAATATAGGTTGCTAACGGAATATACGGTGAATATTAATCTGCATAAATGTACTTTGAAAACGGAATAAACTGCTCTTGAAATAAACATATTTATCTAAAAACGTTACTAGTTATACTTCGAAAAATAATTGGCTTGAAAATAGAAATAGTTTAGTTGTTTTCATGTGTTTGTTTGTTTGATTGTTTATATTTAGAATTATAATTGTATTAAATTATGTTGTTTTGGGGTATGTTTTTCCTTTTTTGTAAATGGTTAACTTACATCTGGCAAGAAACGTTTATTTATAGGGTTTTAGTAGTGCCATTGATAAGAATCTCATCAAAGCAATCAAGTAAGCGTTACTATATGTGTCAGTCAAAACTAAAATATACATAATAATTAAAATGGTTTAAAATCTAGGACTTTTGTTTTTCCCCAAGTGCCAGATTTAATTATATTTTAGTTTTTTTTTTTTTTTTTGCTTTAAACCTCAGAAATATATCTCGATTACAGAGTGCAGTTTTTAATTGTGGCGGAAATTATGAAATGCACTTGACTGATAAAAGCGCTTTATCGATATATCAGTAAATGCATTTTAATTACCTTATATTTTTCTTTACAATGCAAACGAACGTGGAAATATAAAAATTTTATTATATAAAAATAATTACACGTTTTCTTTTGTATAGGTTATTTTATTACTTACCCTGAAAGTGTTTAATATGACTTGTAAAAATGGAATCGCCCTGCTTTTAACTTTGGATCAGTCCATTTGGAGGTCTAAGGTTTAATTTCAAAAAGCAAAAACTAAGCTTTATAGAGTCTGGCCAGACTGCATGCCAAAGCGTAACTATGCCGGTTCAAGCAGCTTATAAGTTAACCAATGGCACAAGCAATGACGTATTTGACTTAAAATGCAAACTATTTTTGTTGGCCTTAAGTTGTACTTTTTATTTTTGTAGTTGTTGATGTAACACATTTTTTGTTATTTTACTACGCACTGACGTATATAAGTTTGATAAGTCATTGCAGTAACTGGATGCACTGCGATCTATGCAACAAAGTATGGTCTTCTGGTTTGTATCATTGCCCTTTTTATGGAGCTTTGTGATTCTATATGAAAACAATTTGCCACAACGTTATCGTTGAAAGAGGAGGTAGTGGTTTTAATATGTATTGATCCCTACCCCCCCCCCCACCATTACCCGCACACTTTAACACAAACACAAACACACACAAACTTTACCTCTTCTCACCTACTACAAATTTCGTCTTAATATGAAAGACCGCAAAAAATAGGCATTTTCGATCAGCGCCTACTACAATTGCTAATGTCATATCGTTGTAAAAACGTAAAAGCAAATTGACATTTTATCACATTCAATTTATATGATTATGGACCTTTTTCTAAAACTTATGTTTAATGTTATTCGTTTCCTCAATTTTTAAAAGTCTAAATGTTACCCGCACCCTCTTGTGAATATAGTCTAGACAAAGACAAAACAATCATTGCTATTTTCGTATCAATAAAACTTGTACTGAAAGAAAAACTGAAGCTGTCGTGTATTACGACCAGTTTTACAATATAAAGAGTTTTGCAATAATTTACTGCTGAACTCGTTGCGATGACATAATTGTGTTGATTTTTTCCACAACCAGTTTTGCAATGAAAACGAGTTTTGCAATAAATTATTCTAATATCAGATTTGATATAAAGATTATACTTTAAATATAATTATGTTCAACAAAGTCAAAATTTAGTCGTATTTCTTTTTTCCGCGTGACACAAGAGCAACACAAGAAAATACGACAGTCAACATTTGTCGCAATTTCGATGCCAAGGGCGCAAGGCGAATGCATGATAAAATAACAACGTGCGAAAATACTACTTGGCACAAATCAGCCACCATAATAATAAAGGACTGGCCAACACCATGATTCATGAATGTCTAGCAATTTGATAATTGCGTACGTACTCAGTCTTGTATATTTATTTTCTACTTGATAAACATATGTCAGACACTGAATATAAAAATCTTTATAACTTGTCATAAAATAACATGACAATAGGAAATACAATGCAATATTGCATCAGATTATTGTCATTTGAACATTTAAAACAGAACTCTTGCGGGAGGAACTTACGTTTTATGTAAAGGAAGGTCAATGGTTCTACTGTCAGTGATCATGCCCGAGATAACTTAGAGACTTCCTAATGTCATTAAAGCATAAATAAAAACTAATCATAACGTTTATGAAAACTTTATACACAATTAACCGAACACAACTAAACTATGACATTACAAAAGAGACAGGTTTATTGATTTACGTCGCATCAGCTCATTATAGGCCACGATGCGACTATTCAACTCTACTGGTGGAGGAAGACCTCAGATGCCCATCCGTGCATTATTTCGGGCAAGGATAAGCACCTTAGTAGTACCATCGACGCTAGCCAGCTGGATTGCTTCTTCTTAAAAGTGAATTAAAAGTCCCTATCGGGACTTGAACCCAAAACGGTAAGAGACTAGTGGTTTAAAGTCACGACCTAACCACTCAGCCCCTAAATTTAGTGAAGATTTAGATATAAATAGGAAAAGTGGGGAAAGAAAAAAGCAAAACAGCGAATGAGATAAGCGAACGGAAAGACAAAAATCAATTAACTAAAGTAATTTACATATTCAAATATCAGAAAGTAGTAAAAGTAGTTTCCTATAATATCATCACAATGTTATTCCAATTCATGAATTGAATTTCTTCAAGTTTTTCATAAATTACATGTAAATGATCGTAAATAAGATGTATAAACGAGCTTTTAGTTAATAAAATTATGCTATTAAAAATCTAAAAAAAGGGGATCCGTCAGAGACAATGAAAAAAGCAACAATAAATGAATTTGCAGACTTGGCATGAATGAGTCTTTGTACCAGTTCATAGTAAATGTTGAATTCTGCTTAAGCCGGTGCTAGGGGGCGTGGACGGCAGTTTGCACTTAACAGTACCGTCCATGAACAGGCTCAATCAAACCGGGCCTGCAACATTTTTCACTTATGCAGTGTTGGGCTTTCTTTAGGAATTATTATTTTCTCTATTTTCTATAAAATTAAATGTAAAAATGCAACATATCCCACGCCCCTTAACATCGGCTTAAGAAATATTTAATTTTTCAACACTAAATGTGCTGGAATCATTTATTCCTAAGGATCAGGAATGTTGTACAATACAACGTTTTACAGCTTCACACAGAAATCCTAAGATGCATAGATCCCTCATCGGAAGCAATAAAGTCAAGAAAGAAATCCATGAAAATTTCAGACTCGGTTGTGGGCCTTATATTAAATCATTTATTTGTTTTGTTTTATTTCCTTATAAGTTACTTATTATGTATTCTGATGTAGTGGTTTGCCTGCCCGTACTCTGCCTTGTGCCCAGTCCTGTTTTTCTTTGGGGTCCTCCTGGGCTCCTTGCCGCTGGCGCTTGTTGCTGGGTCGGGTGGGGGCTGCGTTCATTGAATGCCGCCTTTCCTTGTCGATCTTGTTTATCATATTTGATTGAGTTACTTTATAAAGACTTCAGCATACTCGTATAGATACACATATTAAAATATAATGTATTTGAAACTGATAAATGCTTGATACATCAACATTTATTCGAAAGAAATAAAATATAGACATATTTAAAGGTTATTCGTCCCTCGAAAAGCGGAAAATGTGATATGGTCCATTCATATGTTATGAACAGTCCGAACATTCTCCAAAAAATGTTAATATTTTGTTTCTGAAGAAGACAAAAAACTCTATTCGGGGAAAAAAGACTTACTAGTCCAAGAAACGGAAAAAAACGATGATGTAATTTTACAAACTTGTGATGCCAATAAAGAATTGTCGTTAAGCTTGCAAATAAAATTTAGGCTATACATATTGCAAACAAATTCAATTTGTTTATTGGCTTGGTACCGCTCAAGCCGGTGCTAGGGGGCGTAAGGGATGTTGCACTTATTCATTATCCTTCATGTACAGACTCAGTCAAACCGAGTCTGCAATTCTTATGTTATTTTGTTGTGATTAATGCTTCCGAGGGATCACTTTGTTTCCAGACTTTGGTAACCACGCCCGTTTAACTCACAACGAGTGTAAAATATCCATCGGTTAACATGTTGTGAGCAACTTCCGTTCCTCGTTGTGAGCACCCATCTAGGACGTGTGACACGATAAACAAGGTGAGTTTTTCATAATTTTTGAAGATTA